ACATTAGTTTATCCCAGAATCCAAAATTGGGAGAAATCAAGAACTTCTAGGCCCAGAGCACCAGGCTCTCGCAGTATCTTCTGTATTTCCTGGGAACCAACCAGTTTTCAATTTTCAGGCCAGTTGGATGCTAATGTTCTCAAGTTCCATGCCAGCTTTCCACCCTATTTAGCTACTATCACTTCTGGCCACTTAGGAAGTTCTTAACATTTAAAAAAAATCATCTTTACTGTTCTTCTGAACAACAAAAAGTAGACATGAAACGAGTACCTTTTATAACAACAAGGCATCATCTTCTCCCGGAGGGTGATCCGGTATTTGTAACAGTAAAGGTAATAGGCGTATGGTGACCAGATCGGGTAGAGGCAGTTCCGTGTTTTTCCCCTCTTGATATAAGAAAGGGAGTAGACAGAGGGGCGTGACCTGTGACAAGGCAGTTTCTCAGTTCAGTGCCTCCCTGCGGCAAAGTGAAGTTCAGAGATGGGTGGCAGAGGTTTAGGCAAGCTGGTACCTTTGTGACACGGTAGGCACTATGACATGGACAAGGGTCAACCCTTATGTCATTCATGGCTCCACTCTGCTACTCCTCTACCCCAGCCTCCCCCTGTAACCAAGGCTCTGGTGCACTTTATGGCTGTACCAGTGGTTAAAACACTTTAGAACCTCTGTCCTAGTTGGCAAAAGCCCTGCCTGAACTGATCCCTTGGGCCCATCTGCCCTGGTCCTTCCCCTGAGATCTCCACTTCCGCTAAAATTCAGCACCTAGAGTTTATGTCTGACACTGCAGGGGTTTCCAAGGCTCTGGTCCAGCACTGACCTGATGAATTACTCCCCAGTTCCTACCATCTCAATATTTTTATGATCATCCCTAATTTAATAACCCAGGGGTGCTACAGATATGCTTTTTCTATTGCTTTGTAGGGTAAAAATTGAAAACTTAATGTTTCCAGGGGCCCAGACAGCAAATGGAAATTACTGGAGCTTCATGGAAAGGCTGTAGCAAAACAGAAAATTCACACCCTGTCTAAAGGAAGAAGCCAACACAACTGGTTCCATCCAGTTCCCATGCAGGAACGCAGACTCAGATGTGCCAGGTCAGGTTGTATTTCATCAGAAACACAAAAGAAAATCTTGTAGTAAATTTCCCCGGTTTAAAAATAAAATATTAGCTGCTAAGTCAAAAATACTGATGATTAAACAATCAGCATTCTGAGTAAAATTTGGTTCTGGGGCCACCAGTTTGAGATCTCTGCATATTGATTTATTCATCACTTGACAAAACTGTTGAGGGACTGCTGTGAGCCAGGCACCATTCTAGGTACTTGGGATGCATCAGTGAAAAAAAGATCCCTTCCCTATGAAACACATGTTCTAAAAGTGAGAGAACAAACCTAGAATATAACTAAGTAAATCGTCCTGTGTTAGAAGATAACTGCTGGGCCAGCAGGTGGCATGGTGATAAAGCTCTGGATTCCCACGTGGCTGACTGAAGGGCTCAAGTCCTGGACCAGGAGGCTTGAAAAACCGGCTACATGTGTGCCCCATGTCCCAAGAGGAGAATGGAGGAGAAAGGATCATGGCATGGGTCATTTCCTCCGGGAGGTGATTTCTCGCTTTCCTCCTCTCTGGGGAGTACCCGAGCCCTATAAGAGATGACTGCTGTGGTGGAAAAACAGATAAACGAGGACCAGGAATGTTAAGGGGATGGGACAGGATTGAAGTAACCGGTGACCCAAGTGGGCCTCACTGAATCAGACCAACAGGCGGTGAGGCTGCTAACCATAGCCATGCTGTGCGCCTTCCCATCCAGTGCCGTCGCTCGTCAGCGTCCAAGTGACCTCAGGCACCGACTACAGCGAAAACCAAAGCCCTCTTTCAAAGCCAAAGTGAAGCCAAAAGGTAGATCGTGTCTTTCCCGGTGTCATTCCAGCACCTTACACTCATTCCACTATCTGCCATATTTATGGCCGTCCTCCGGCCCCTGGCTAAAATCTAAGGAAGAGGAGTGAAAAAATGCTGAGGCAAGAAGCATTTATTATATTTCAGTTCTCCCGCCCGGGGTATCGGATACGCCGTGGAGCTGCGGCCCCCGCCGGGCCGAGACCGAAGCTCGCGGGCTCAGGCGCGCCGCGGGCAGCCCTGCTGGGGCCTTTCCTGCCGCCGGGCGCCGGGTCCTTCCTCGCGGTTGTCCCTGTGCCCGGAACATGGCGGTGGCCACTTTCGCGGGCCCGGGCCGAGGTTTGTTGCGGGCGGGCGCTGAGCCGCTGCTGCGAAGAGGAATCCGGGCGTCGGTCCGGCCGCGACTTGAAGGAGTAGCCCTCGGCACGGAGCGCGACTTCAGCCTCTCGCACAGTCGGGTGAGGGCCGGGGCTGGGTGTGGGTCCTCGACCTGGAGCAGTTCACGCCCTCTGGGGCGCGTTGACGCCTGGCGCGGCCGGGCCGGTGTGGCGGGGGCGAGGGTGGGCTCTGCGGAGTCTCGCTCACGCGCGCTTCCCCGGCCGCCAGGGCACAGTCATCGTGGAGCGCTGGTGGAAGGTGCCGCGGGCCCGGGAGAGGCGGAAGTCGCGGCTTCACCCGCGCCCACCCGTCTACAAGCTGGTGGAGGACACAAAACACCGGCCCAAAGAAAACCTGGAGCTTATTCTCACGCAGTCTGTGGAAGGTAAGGCCCCGGCCGAGGCGCTTCCACGCTCGGGCTGGTCCTGTTCGGCGTCAGCTTTTCCCTGCGCTCTCGCTGCTGGCCTTGCTTTATCTACTTTGAAGAAAAAGGCGTCCTTGTATGTGAGAAAAGGAAGCCAAAGAAGTACTGTGACTTTAGCCTTCTGCGTGGAAGTTCAAACATGCTTGCGGCCGGGCCAGCAGTGGCGTTATGGTTAAGGCGCTTGACACTCCCACATGGTGGATTGCGGTTCAAGTCCCGGACTTGGTGGCTTGCTTTTTCACTTCTATGTGTCTGTCTTTCTCTGGTCAAATGAAAAATAAATGAATGAATAAATAAAATTAAATAATTCTCTTAAAAAGAAGACATGATTGCAGCATTACCATTAACAGAGTGTGGGGAGAGAAGCCTGACAGTACCTGAGGCAGATGATGAAATCCTCTGATGGGACAGCTCCTCACTCTTTACAGAGAATGCTTAATTTTTACATCAGGTTCTAAATAAACTAATTAGCAGTCTAAGTGTTGTTCCTAGTGAATATGGATTAACATTTTTGGGGTAGAAGAATAAGCACTGTGAGAAAATATGAGGTGTTTCTTTGATCATCTTTTTTCCTTAAAGAGAGATTTTTTGCTCTAGGGCACTTGTCTCTCTCACCAAAGAGAGACAGAAAAGCAAGAAGTCACCCCCAAGGGAAGATGGCCACACTGCAATCCCTTCTCCTCCATTCTCTTCTCGGGATCTTGGGCACGCACACACATGCGCCCGGTGTGAGTTTAAGCCACCGGGTCTGGGACTCAAACCGCGGTCGACTACATGGGAGTCCAGCGACATAGCCATTATGCCAACTGCTGGTCCCTTTACCCCATTTTTAAATTTTTTTTTTTTTGAGAAGTTTTTGCCATAGAGCACATGTACTCGCCAGACAGAGAGAGACAGAGAGACAGACAGTGAGAAGTCACCCCCCAGGGGGATGGCCACATTGCAATCCCTTCTCCATTCTCCTCTCAGGATCTTGGGCACGCATGTGCTTGTGCCCAGCATGTTTTAAGTCTCCGTGACTTGAACCATGGTCTTCTATGTGGAAGTGCAGCAACATAACCATTACGCCCATCTGCTGGTCCCTGACCACTTTTTCTTTAGGGACTTCTAGATCTGATTTCAGTGCCTCTATTCTCATTGGCAGAACTTGGAGTCCGAGGTGACCTGGTCTCAGTGACGAAATCTTTTGGCCGTAATCGACTCCTTCCTCAGGGACTAGCTGTATATGCATCCCCTGAAAACAGAAAGCTATTTGAAGAGGAGAAGTTGGTGAGCTCAAAGGACGAACAGAGGGTCTCAGAGGAATAAAATTTAAGATTTCCTATAGCAGTTCCCCTTTGATATTTAATTTGCAAATGAAGTCGGGGCTAATAGAATGGAATCCAGAAGCCCAGCCTATGCTCAGAATTTGGTATTACTTAGCATGGGCTAATTTTTCTTTATTTTCATCTTTAACTTCTTTTTTTAGCTGAGACAAGAAGGAAAATTAGAGAAGATCCAGACCAAGGCAGGTGAGGCGGTGAGTAGACACATAAAAAGTCTATTACAGCAGTCACCAATCTTTCTGAGAGTCTCCCTGATTTCATTGAAGTCTCCTGATTACAAACACGGGTGGGAGAAATGAGAAGTATTGTGGTTTTTTCACCTAATTGGTATGGAGACCTCTAGGAGATACTGGCCTGTTGGGCAAAGTTCCCAGCTTAATGAGGGAGGTCCCAGTCTGGCCCAGGGACCAATAGAAACATGAGGCCAGAGCTCTGCTTCCAGCAGTATTTATAAGCAGGTTGGATAGAACACAGACACACGACAAGGCGCTCAGTAAACTCAAAGCACTGTAGTATAAGAGTGACATGGGCCATAGCGGGTTTGGGAGTAATTGAGGAGGCCTTTTTTCTAGGTGAGTCTGAAGCCTGGTAGGATTAGTAGACTTTGGATAGGCCAGGAGGGTGGGAAAGTGTTCTTAAGGGAAAAAAAGTGCAACTATAAATTTAAGACATATTTTAACATAGAAAGTAGACCTGTCTTGCTAAAGCAGAAGATTTATATAGTGTAAAATAGGAAACATATGACTGGAAAGAGGATTGGGGAGAGATTTATAAAGTATCCTAAATCCTCAACTATTGAGATTATACTGCATTCTGTAAACAGAATGCATATGGGTAGGGTTGAAGGGCCAGAAAAGTCATTCCATCCTGAGGTACACTGATGGCTCCTTAAATTTGACATGGTCTATTTTTCCTTGTTCAGAAAACAGCAAAGTATAGGTGACATCCCCCACAAAGTATTGCTAAAATATTTTGTATGGTATCAGCCCTGAGACAATAAGAATATTCTGTATTTCCCATTCATCTTCTCACCTGTCTTGGCTTTGATGCAGAAATTATGGCCCTTTCTTGAGCTCTCAGATTTTGCAGTCTTGCTAACATGTTTCCTTTCTTTTGTCTCTAGCTCTAACCCAGCCCTTATTTGTAATTCCTTTCAGACAGTGAAGTTTCTCAGAAGCTGTCATCTGGAAGTGGGGATGAAAAACAATGTCAAATGGGAGCTGAACCCTGATATAGTTGCTCGCCACTTCCTCAAGAATGTGAGTGTTCTAAATATCCCTGTACCCCTGAGGGTGGAAGCTGCCTCTGGGAAGGAGCCCCTTTGTTAGGAAAGAGATCATCCCACGGGAGTTAACTCTTACTTGCAGGAGGGTGGAAGGAAAGTGACTAAGGACTAAAGATGGTCATGTAGAATTTATTCACTTCTTTTTAAAGAGAGGTTTTTTAAAAAATTATTTTAATTTGGGACCAGCAGTTGGCGTAATGGCTATGTCGCTGGACTCCCACATAGTCGACTGTGGTTCATGTCCCGGACCTGGTGGCTTAAAACTCATGCCAGGCGCATATGCGTGTGTGCCCAAGATCCTGAGAGGAGAATGGAGGAGAAGGGATTGCGGCGTGGCCATCCTCCCTGGGGGGTGATTTCTCGCTTTCTGTCTCTCTGTCTGTCTCTGTCTGACAAGCGCACGTGCCCTATAGCAAAAACCTCTCCAAAAAAAAAATTCATTTTAACTTTATTATTAGATTTTTAAAATTTTTATTTATTCATTCATTTATTTTAATTTGACCAGAGAGAGAGAGAGAGGGAAAGTGAGAAAGCAAGCCACCAGGTCCAGGACTCGAACAGTAGTCGGCCATGTGGGAGTCCAGCATCCTTAACCACCACGCCACCTGCAGGTTCCCAAGAGAGATTATTTTTACTATCAGCACATAAGCTCGCTGCAGAGACAGAGATAGAAAGCAGGAAAGCACCCCTCAGGGGAGATAGCCACACCACAATCTCTTCTCCTCCACCCATTTCTCAGGATTTGGGGCATGCACACACATACACCTGGCATGAGTTTTAAGCCACCTGGTTTAAGACTCAAACTATAGTTGACTACGTGGGGAATTCAGCAACATAACTGTTATGCCATCTGCTACTCTTGGTCATATAGAATTTAAGGACTAAGACCAGCTTGTGGCCTGGTGGTTAAGGCAACTGGATCCACATGGCTGACTACACAGTTCAAGTTCTTGATTAGCAGCTTGAGAAACATGCCAGGCACATGTGCATGTGTGCCCAAAATCCTAAAAAGAAGGAGAAATGGAGAAGGGATTGTCAAGTAACCATGCACCATGAGAATTTTCTTGCTTTCTCTCTCTCCCTTTCTCTGGCACTCTCTGTTGAGCACACACACCCTCTGGCAGATTCAACAAAGAGTTTAAAGACTGATAAGAAAAGGTGGTAGTTGGACCAACAGTTGGTATGGTGGATAAGGCATTGGATTCCCACATGGTCAACTCCATGGTTCAAGTTCTGGACCCAGGGGCTTGAAAATCATGCCAGATGTGTGTATATGCCCAAAATCCTGAGAGGAAACTAGAGGAGAAAGGATATCACGTGGCCATTGCCCCTAGAGGATGACTTCTCAATTTCTGTCTTCTGTCTCTGTTTCACTCAGAGCGCACGTGCCTTACAAACCCTAAAAAAAATTAATTGCAAAAAATGGAAAAGGAGGGCCAGAGATGGTGTAGCAGCTATGTCACTGGATTCCCCTTTGGCCGACCACAGTTTGAGTCCTGGACCCAGTGGCCTGAAACTCACTCCAGGCACGTGTGCTTGTGTGCCCAAGATCCCAGGAGGGGAATGGAGAAGGAATTGCTTCATGGCCATCCCCCCATGGGCGGTGATTTCTCACTTCCCCTCACTGTACCTTTCTCTTTCCAGTGAATGCACACACCCTAAGCAAAAGCCTCTTATAAAAAAAAGAGAAAGAAAAAGTGGTGGTTTCCATTTATCTCCGCTCCAGCGAGGGAAAACCTGGGGATATGTGACTCACTGGGAAAGGGTTATTTTGTGTATGAAGTGATATTGGTCCTACGCCATTTCTCTCACTGAATTCCCCTCCCTTTCTGGGAAAGTAGGACTGAGTTTCCTACTTCTATCTCTGGAAGTCTGTGCTCTCCAGTAGAATCAGCCAGAGTAAACTCTTCAGTTTCATTGGTCCCTGTACAGGAAATTCTGGTGCCCTCTTTATGAGTTTACCAGAGTGGCAGCCAGAAAACCAAAGTTTGTTTTGACTGTGATTTTTTGCAGCTTGGTGTTGTGGTTGCCCCACATGCGTTGAAGTTACCAGAAGAGCCTATCACACGGTGGGGCGAGTACTGGTGTGAGGTGACAGTGAGTATTTCACATGTTTTCTCCTTTTTCTGTCTGGGAGGAAAAGGTGAAAAGCTCAGATTGGGTAGTGGTAGCTCTAATCTGCCCCACTGACCTCGGGCTTCCTGTTGTTTCCTGTGCAGGTGAACGGGCTTGACACTGTGAGAGTGCCCATGTCTGTGGTGAACTTCGAGAGGCCCAAGACCAAAAGATACAAACACTGGTTAGCCCAGCAAGCTGACAAGGGCCTGGCCCCCACTGACTCCCAGAACATCTGAACTTCGTCTCCCTCTAAGGCAGCAAAGCAGAGTTAGAGGAGCAGTAGAGCAAGAAGGGCCAGCATTCCCAGCTCTGATGACCAAATGTGGGTCTTTGAAGCACATAGGGAGACATGAGCCTGAACTGTGTACGCATGTGGAACGCTCCATGTTGGCTGCCTCCACCTTCGACTCTCATCAACCCTGAGTAAGCTGGGTATTAGTGGACTGAAATAGGCCTTTCCTCCATTGACATTCATGGAACAAAAGGAAGAGCTAACCACTGTCTCCAGTGCTTGCGCAGTGTCATCATCCAATATGATCATTTGTGTCTAGCAGAAATAAAGGTGGTGTTTTTTTTATATTTTTTTTTTTGGGGGGGGGGGTTGTTTAAGTAAGCTAAATAGATTGGGGACAGAATATCCAAGTGGGATGTCCTCTTGAGCCACTGAAGTTGCTGCTAGAAAGGAGGGAGGAAGAATACATCAACAGGTTATATCCCATAGTCACTAGGAGCAAATTACACTGAATAAGCTCATTATGTCTTTGGTTTTAAAACTTACTCTCAGGACTAGCACATTAAGGGTGCTGGACTCCCACATGACCAACCATGGTTCAAGTCCAAGACCTGGCAGCTCGCTCTTGCACATGCACGCGCTCTCTCGCTCTCTCTCTCATTAGCTATATTGAGAAAGTCATCAGTGTGGGACTGGTAGGTGGTGTGATGGTAAGGGTGCTGGTCTCCCACATGGCTGACCATGGTTCAAGCCTCAGAACTGGTGGCTTGCTTGCTTTCTTCTCTCTCTGTCTCTCTGGTCAAATTTTAAAATATAGTAATGATGAATAAAATCGAATGATTCTTTAAAAAAAATTTATCAGTGGATTCTGCTTCTCTAAGGTCATCTGAATAATACTGAAAGGTAATTGTGAGGGGGAAATGTAGCTAGGATAAAAAGCTTTGAAAGGGAACTTCCAGGGCCTGCCAGTGGATTAATGGTTGAGGCGGCTAGATCCTACATGGCCAACAAGACAGGTTAAGTCTCAGATCCAGCAGCTTAAAAACAAGCACATGTGTGTGTATGCCCAAAATCCTAGGAGGATGAAGAAATGGAGAAGGGAGTGTGGTGTGACCATCCCCCATATACGGTGCTTTTTTATTTTTTCTCTTTTCCCTCTGACAGCTTATGCACACTCCGGCAGATTTCTTTTAAAGGGAGTTGAGAGATATCTGTATTGTTTCTTGAACCGGCTCCTGAAATTCTTTAAAAGAAGATACCTTGACTTTCAGACCAAGGTTAACATATGGAGCTGATCATTTGGTCATTCTGGAATAATGGTCTTGATGGGAGATGAGGGAAGTAGATAATTCTGTGTAAGTTTGGGACCAGCAGGTGGCATGGTGGTTAAGGCGCTGGACACTCCCACATGGCATACCACAATTTAAGATCTGGACCTGGTGACTTGCTTTCTCACTTTTCCTCTCTCTCTCTCTGTCTCTCTCTGTCTCTGTCTTTCTCTGGTCATTTTTTTTTTTAATGAATAAATTGGGACCAGTAGTTGGCATAATGGCTATGTCGCTGGACTCCCACATAGTCAACTGTGGTTCAAGTCCTAGACCCAGTGGCTTAAACTCACACCATGTACATGTGCGTGCGTGCCCAAGATCCTGAGAAGAGAATGGAGGAGAAGTGATTGCGGTGTGGCCATCCCCCCCACGGGTGGTTTCTCTCGTTCTCTCTCTCTGTCTCTCTCTGTCTCTGTCTGTCTTTCTGGCTAGCGCACGCAACCTATAGCAGAACGCAGTTCAGGAAAAGAATAATTTATTTTTAAAAATTTATTTTTCAAAATTCATTTAGTAGAAAAAAGAACATCAGTGGGGTCAGCATAAAGGTTATGTCACTAGACTCCCATATGGCCAACCGCAGTTCGAGTCCCAGACCTGGTGACTTGAAACCCAGGCCAGGTGCATGTATGTGTATGCAAGTGTAATGTGAGGCCATGTGATGTAGGGGGGTAGGCATAAGACCACTGACTCCTTTCCTACCCTCTCTTACCCTGATTGAACCCACCTGCCACTTGAAGCCAAGTAAGCACTTTCATCTCGACCAATGAGAATCCTGTCATCAGTTGTACTGATACCTATACCCAGCTTTGCACTGGCTGGGACTTGAAATTCCAGGGGTCCTTATCCCTACTGTTTTGATGTGGATGGCTCACTTAGCACAGCCTCTTTCGGTACAGACTACCATCATTGTAAAGCTCTCCAGTTGAACAGCAGTACAACATTCTACATAACTAACCTCAAAAAGTATTACCCATTACAGGCTTTCTTGGCACAAGTACTGTGTTGGAGATTTGCATATAGGAAGCTTTTTTCTTTTTAAGAATTACTTAACTTTATTTTTTTAATTTGATCAGAGAGAGAGAGAGAGGGAAAGTGAGAAAGGAAGCCACCAGGTCCAGGACTTGAACCACAGTTAGCCATGTAGAAGTCCAGCGCCCACAACCCCCACACCATCCGCTAGCCCCTGCACTTAGGAAGTTTTATGGGAGGACCATGGACCAGAGCCTGTGGGACAATGAAGGAAGCAGGATTGGGCAGAGGGAGAACTTGGGCTGATGCAGCCTCAACAAAGGCCTTGACCAGTTCCATGGGGAGCGCAAACAAGATGCCCCAAGATGAGTGGGCTGGATCATAGGCAGGTCCCCAGAGAGGGGCCCAGGTGAGAGTTGTCAGCTGTCAGCCTTCTCAGCTTGGAGGAAGTACTCTAGTCCCAAAGGTGATTCCAAGCAGCACACCAGAGCCCAGATCCCTTCATAAGTTCTGATTCTGATGGATCTCTTTCTGGAAAAACTTAAAAAGATAGTTGAGGGCAACCACAGTCCCTGATGCTATAGCTTGTCTAACTGGTGGGCAAGCCCTCTATGTCCCTTCCTAAATTCCTTCCCCGACTCCAGGCTTCACTTCTGCTGGTCCAGGTGAGTTACCTAGCTATTATGCCCTTCTCAGGCCATGATTGCACTTTTCCACTTACCGAAATTGGGCAAAAGAGAAACAAGATATTTGAGTGGATGACCAGAGTGTCACATATATTCTGTCTCCCCATTGGGCAACAGCAATTCTACCTCCCGACGATTGGGGTTAGTTACTCTTGCTGGGATGATTTCTTTCACTGCCTTGTCTCCTGGTGATCTGAAGTAATCTAGTGGCTGCCACAGTTTAGAGGGTGTTTTCATTTGATACAGCAAATGTAAATGAGAGGCACACCCTCTAGTCTGGTCCCACCATGATTCCTTCAGTCCTCCAGCCTGTCAGCCCAGACACTTGCACATGTGTTCCAAGTATATGTCAGGCTGACAGCTGGGGATGTGAACTGCAGGTATCATGTGGCACCCATCTTCTGAACAGCACATTACCCCTGCACCATTGAGCCTACCCCATAGTTTAATGAGAGTTTTGGTGTGTCTATTGGTGGAAATACCTCCTGAGAACTGGAGGGCTCTAAACCTTCAGAGCCCAGTGCGGGGATAGGAGGCAGTTTCCCCAGTTGGGGGAACTGTCATGGGGGCTGCTTCTATATCCACCCCTGTTTCCTAGATGCACATATTTTACTTGGGGATACAGTGCTATGTGATAGCCATGGTTGTGGGTCTGCATCCTGGAAGGTGATGCCTCGTCCTAATAGGGTATCATCTCCAAGCTGTGCTTTAGCTGCACCTTCAACCCACTGTTCCATCACTCCATCGGGGGCAGCTTCCAGGTAGCATGGTAAGTGATTAGGCCAGCAGATCCCATGGTCTTGTCCCCAGTGCTGTATGTACTTCTTTGCTATACAGCGGTTCTCTTGGTCCAAGGCCATATTGTAGGAGATCTCATTCATGCTAGTAAGTCAAAACTCTTTTTTTTTTTTTTGAGAGAGAGATTTTCGCTATAGGGCGCGTGCGCTCACCAGACAGACAGAGAGAGACATAGAGACAGAAAGCGAGAAATCATCCCCCAGGGGGGATGGTCACACTGCAATCCCTTCTCCTCCAGTCTCCTCTCGGGATCATGGGCACGCACACACACGCGCCCGGCATGAGTTTTAAGCCACCGGGTCCGGGACGCGAACCGTGGTCGACTACGTGGGAGTCCAGCGACATAGCCATTACGCTAACTGCTGGTTCGCCTAGTAGGTCAAAACTCTGTACGTGCAGGAAAGGCAAACCCATTCCCATGATCTACAATTCCCAGTCCAGATGGAACGCTGTCCCTTCCAAGGTAGCAAGGATACAAGGTACTCAACTTACGCCAAGTGGCCTGTTGGTTATCTTGGGGGATGGTGCCATATGAGGGTAAGTGTCAGTCTCTGTTGCTGGCAAGTGTGACATTTACAGTATCAGTAGTCAGATCACCTTGGGGAGGCCATGGAGGCCCCACCACGGCTTCTCCATGCATACGTGCATTTTGCCAGCACTGGGATGCCAGCAGCAATGGCTAGCTAATGCCGTGTAGCTGAGCCATTCATTCTGCTTGGCTGTCGATGCCTGTCCTGTGGTGGGTGTCCCCTGGTGAGCTTCACCATGTGATGCAAAGATCATCACACTGTACACCCATTCTTAGGGATGCTACCAGCATTTTCCCCAACTTGCTTGTCTTTAATCTTACAATTTTTCTTCTTCCAGCCAAGTCATTTCTCATTGCACATGAGCGTGTACATATTTCTTACTTTAGGCTGGTGTGCTGCGTGAAGCTCTACCCATTAGGAAGACGTCCCCTCAGTCCTTTCCAAGCCATCTCTATATGAGACGTAGTGCAGCCACAATCTTTCACCTCCTGAGACAACCCGTTCAGTAACCAAAATCAGCCTTTTCCTCTTCTATCATCTGGTCACAAGGGACTGTAGATGTAAACTGAGGGAGAAGCACCAGTGCACAGTGGTGGGTAATAGGACCCAATCACCTGCATACACAGCTTCCTTTTGCCTTCTAAGCTCTGCTTGTGCTAATCCTGTACATGCCACTTCCATTTCATGAAGGATTGTTGCTGGACCCACCCGACCTTATGACTTGGGTTTGACAGAACCTAAGCATTTACAGCTACCTGGTTACTCAATGTCTCTCGGCAAACACTTTGTTTTCACCAGGACTCAGTAACACCCCAGGCACTATCTTTCAACAGGCGTACAAGATTCCCTGCTCCAAAACGGTAGGAGTCTATGTGTGACTTCCTACCAAGGTCTGCCATGAATAGTGCGTGGTCTCGGCCGACCTCCGACAGCTCTAATACAATGTAGGGTCTTGTGGATCAAAGCAGCATGGCCACTTGTACCACAGCTTGATCTGTTCCAGACCCTTCTCCCTGCTCTGCACCCCACCCAAA